ATATATTACTAATTATTACAAATTAAGATAAAATTTTCTCTTTTGTCTATATAAAAATTTATCAGATCTGTATAATCAAGAACTAATTTCAAAGATATTTAATGTAAAAAATAACATATTAAACAAATTTCTTTGAAATTTCTTAAAGGAAAACTTAATTTTAAATTAAATCATGGATCCATAAAATCGTTTAAGAAACTTTATTTACATAACTAAGAATTGATTTTTTTCTAATGTTCTCGATTCTTCCATGTAAAATATTATCGATACGCCCACGTAAGATAAGCAGCAGATCTATTCAGAATACAAAAAATCCAAGTAGTCTTACTGCAAACAGAATTTGTAGTAGACAGACAATTTGTAAGATTTGTTTTCGACAGGATTTTCTACTTTTCTCGCATTTCCTCTTTTCTTCCTAACTAAAATCGGAGTCACGGTATTCAGTTCACATCGTTCTAAACACGGAGAGAGAGCATGGCTAATGTGCATTTCTATCTATGTAGATTAATTTCGATCTCAAAGTTTAATTCATTTCTTATATTTTTTTCTAAAAATAGAAACAGATAAAAAGAATGAATTAAACCGAGATTTAAGATGAAATCTACATTGGCAGGGATAGATAAGTGAGCGGAGCAGAGGTTAAACGATGCAAGCCGCCTCCCCCCCCCCTCCGTCTCACTCGGATGCAGCGCACCTTGACCCTCTTGCCGTCTATGAGCACGGTCTTCATGGTGAAGTCGACGCCAATGGTGTTGCCGTGGCGTTCGACGAACGTGCCGGACCTGAAGCGCTGCACCACGCAGGTCTTGCCCGTGCCGCAGTCGCCGATCAGGACGATCTTGAACAGGTAGTCGAAGCTCTCGTCGTCCCTCGTGTTCATCATCAGATTGTCGGGGTCGCGGCACGACATTCTCACCGAGGCACACACGATAACGGGGGCGACGGCGACGTGCGACGACGATCACGTGGTGAGAAGAGCATTCGGACTTTGTCACTTCGCGCGGACAACCATCTTACATCTACGTCCCGTCGTCGTGTCCGCGAGCTTTCCTTCACCCAATTGCATCCATTTTGGTCCATCTTACCACCCCCCCCCCCCTGCTGCGATCGCTATCAGCGACGAATCGCGGAACCGCTGACCCCTCTCTTTTACCTTCCTCTGCCTTCCTGCTTTCCTTCCCTCTTTCCTCCTTTCCTTCCTTTCTTCCGCGTGGTCTCGCGCTGTTTCGCGCATAACAAACAAATTTTTTTCAACTCGATTCGCTTTTCGAGCGTATCTTATTTATAGTAAAAACTTGTGTATATATATATATATATATATATATATATATATATATATATAAT